GTATCGAAATACCATTTCACACCAGAAGTACTGTGGTATGCAATCGATCGAGAGCTCAACTCAACACACAGGCTGCCAATCGATCAAAGCTTTGGGTAGAATTCTGCGCGCGTCGTGAACTGTGATTTCGATGCCGTCGTATTGGGGCTTTTTACAGAGCTGAACAGCTGGCGCAACTGGCGCAATCACGCAGACTAAAGTGAGGGGCGGACGATGAGTTTGCGTCAACGTGAGTAGTGCTCAAAATTGAGTAACCGTGGCGTTTCAACACAGGGTGAATTCCAAATTTTAAGTAGAGGCAATGTGAAGACGTCTCACCTGCTGAACAGCGGGTTAGCTTTGTGATTGTATCATAACTGAGATCGGGGCTTTACTTTCCACTTGTGGCCCCGCGGGTAGCACACGTAGTACCTTTCATTTCCTTGCTAAATCTGGCGATGGTATACTTGGAATTTGCAATTTCCTTGCTTGGCTTTGAATCCACGAATAGTAGTCACTGAATGCATCATACCACAGGCTCCGATGAGCCTGCATAGTTCGTTCAATGAGACAAGACAATTCCTTGTACCATCTGACCCCTGCTGATTTCATCTCACTCAGTGACGGAATCGTTTACTTCTCCATGCTTGCCACCCTCGAATTTGTCAGATATCACTTTGTATATGAGTCGGATAAATCAACATTTGATAGCCTATTCAGTTCATAACCGGTGTTACACTCTCAAGCAAGGGTAGTACTTGAAAAAGTAAACCGTAAGGCGCATAGTGGACTCCGAGCTGATTTCCTTTGGTGTTGTATCTAATTGATAGAGCCGACTTCCATAAATTTTCTCGTAAACTCGGTTAACACTACGGATGGAATCAGTTACTTGCGATTCTGGAAAATGAGCGATCTACCTATAGAGTGGTGCCTTATATTGTCTCTTCTTATTGTTGTGGTGAATCGAGTCCCCAGCTGGCACATCCATGCATAATTACTGTCAGGGTTCGACTTTCCACGCATGCAGAAGGATAGGTACTGTAGCGGTGTATTGATGAACCCCATGGCAATCTCCCTTGAAGCTGGAGGTGCATTTGAATCTTTTGAAAAGGGCTCATATGTTTCCTGCAGCGTTTGGTTGCGGACATCAGATTGCCAGTCGGCTCATCAATCCAAATAGCAGGTGGTTCATCGTCGTGGAGAAGCCTCATGGTTGACCTTGATCCCCTCGATTAGTGTTAAACACGCGCGTGTGCTGTGTATCCGTCCGGAAGTTATCCGTCTTGCACGAGCTATTTGAAAGATGGTCCTTTAACGGCAACTGCCGTCATCTAAACGGAACAGGTAGGTCGATGCTTGGCCATGTTGCTTTTGAACGGAGAGGTCCACGTCACTCTGGATCAGAAAGGAAACCCAGCATACAGCATTGGGACCTCCTCAACCGCTTGTTTGCTTCCTGAGTACTCGGGATGTAGAATCCAATTTTAGGGGTCTCCGCGCATCATAGTGTTCTTTTGCTTGATTACCCTTTTCTGCAGTGCACCAAAAACTAGCCTTATGTGTGACTGCAGGGATCATTTTGAACCAGACTTATGTGAATGCATTATGACACACACAGTCAATCGAATTGGCCAAGGTTCACTTCAACGGAAATCGCGTGCCACGAACAGATGTTTTCGGGAAATGCATGCATGACCCAAGGCCTGTGCATAACAGAAATTCGCCGAGATTGGACAAGTGGCTTGGCGTAATATTGGAACAGTAGTCATATAAAACGCAAAAAATGATAGGAGTCGCTCGCGAATGTGTGAGTATACATTGTTAGCGTGATATGTTTTGTGACATTGTGCCTCGCATGTAGATCTAGTAAATTTGAAGGAACCCTCTCATGGTTGACACACACAAATCAGATATCTCAACTCTGGTGAGCTTCAGTGCCGAAACGTGGTTGGCGGAGGCTGGGAACATATGACCACGGTTGTTGCTGATTATCGGATGATGCATGATATTTAATGCCGTTGGAAATGCCGACCGCACAAAGCGGGCTATGACTTCTGCATGAGCTGCAGGTCATTCTTTTTGTGTCGCATATTGCCACGTCCATTACCTGTGCTGTGAAGTTCTTGATGGCGATTACATCCGGTTTGATGTATGTTGACGCAGCTTGGATACGGGGCTCCGGGATGATTTGGACTCTTAGGACGATGGGTGTTGGTTACTTGCTTCACGATATCATTGTGCCAATCACAGCGAGCATCGTGGGTTATTGCACTGGACTGCAAGACGTGGGAAAGTGTTTCGTTTTGTCTGCAAACACCCCGGCAGTGATGATCGGTTGGGTTTGGGGGGTGGTCGTCTTCTTAAGCATCAAGATTTTCTCGACAGCACACCTGATGAAGTTGGGTTCCTCTGATGAAGTGTGTAGGAAAAAATTAGCACAGGGTTTCTTAACCAGTTACGAAACGCTGGCTTCGTAATACACTCCGAAGTAAGGATCCGTCTATAGCTTGTAGCAGTGAGTTCTTCTATGCTTCCTTCGCGTCATTTTTGTCAAAGACGACTTGGTTCCCAATTGTCATGGGTTTCATGCCGAGGCGTTGGATGGTAGTTGCTGTAGGTTCCTGTATCACCCAACTGGTAATTGGGCGGCAGAGTGAACGATGGCGTTCCAGGCGGTCCTTCCGAAGCATGGGGATTATACTTGAAAGTCACGGAACACCTGGGCCATAATCCTCAATTGATGCGTGAAAGAAAGCACACTGAAGTGCTTAGGGAGTCGTATACTTGCCCGGACCAACCTGTCTATCGATTTGTTGGTCTGGCGATGCACCACCGCCAATGAAAGGCAATGTGCATGGCGCGGTAAAAATAATAGCGCAAGATATCCATATGCTAGTAGGGTTTGTGGATGACTTGCAATGTTTTCTGCAGGTGTGCATTGAGTTGGACGGACGTTTACCCTTTCAATCAAATGGTAATCCATGTAGCCGGAATTCCTCGGATGGCCGGATCGAGGAGATCTGGAAGGCGCCACGAGGAGCTGCGCAGTGTTCAAAATAATCAAAATTTTTTTACTGTCGACAGTGATATCTAATATCATCAATTTCATCGGGTATATTGATAATCCAAGGTGCTGTAGATCCACGAAAATCGACCTAGTCGTTCGATCAGGGATTCTCGTTCGTGAGCAAATAAAACGACATCATCTGTGTAAGGCGACATGATCGATTGAGATTGCACATCGCAATCCATTCCCGCAGCGAGCGCTTCAACATGACCCTGCAATCAGTCATCCACCGTTGTGCTAAGCGTTACCTGTCTTTACTCGGTGGCTCAAGGGCAAAGGTTCCTTTTAACATCCCATTGGTCCCGAGTATGAGTGCCTCCTATACCTATCTGATGAGAACAAATAAGTTCGAAACTATTCGTGCATTTCAGTGTTCTGGAGGCCGGTAACATACCATAATCATCTGGCCTTATGTGTTATTTTTACAGTGTTTTCGTTTTCCACCAGCTCCATGCGTCTGTATCACTTTAATCAGTTCAGTGACAATTTGTTCCTCCCCACATGCACTCTGATCACTATGGACTAAATGCTGTACCTACTGTGCATCATGCGCTAACTCCCGCCTCCAACGACTGCGCTTGCTACATCTTTTTAGCCGCAACAAAGTGGCGTTTCCGCTCTTACATTCGTTCCCTCGTTTCTGTCCCTTAACTGCTGCATTTGGCAATTTTATTTCTCGTACGTTCCTCTGTTATTATTATTATTATTATTATTATTATTATTGTTATAAGTATTGTTCCTTTAGCCACGTGATAGTTGCACCCATCGCGGCTCGATCACGGATCTCAGTTGATAGATTGAACAGCAATCGAACTAGTCACTGGGTGCGGTTCACTACACAGCTTCGTCAGTCAGAACATCGGAAGACCGACTTGCAGGGAACCGAATTATCTAGTTTTATGAGGCTATGACAGCAGCAACTGGAACATCTTGGAGTACAGTGGAGAAGTAAATGCAAATGCTCTTCAAATGGTGTGGCTACGGTGCAGTCCATTCACTGATGTTCACCATCATCGGCTTTCACTCATAGACTATGAGACGCCCCGACGACGTCACAACTGTCGATTTTCGTACACTACATACAACCGCCTGCCGGCTAATTCCTTCAAATGTACCCATTCAAACGTTCAGATATGTTTTGCTTGTGGAGCAAGTACTTTTCGTTAAATCTCATGAAGCTTTCATACTTACGAATCTATATTTGATCGTACTTGACAGCTATTTCTAGCTCGGTGTATATTTCATGACTTTCGTTTATCCAAAGTGGTAGAGTGCACTGTAGCTTAGTTAGTCGAATGCGGCAGCAGTCGATGGCCAGTTTGAACTCACTGTATAAGCAGCAATCTAGGTTAGTCTGTCTCTTGCTCCACATAAATTCATCTGTAGTTGTGACTCAAAATACCCCACAAACACAATACGGCATGTTCCGAAGTGAATAATGGAACGCTGACCTAACCTGCTGTAACATGGACCGGTCAAGAAAGTTCAGGATTCATCCTGGAGCGCACTATTTGTATTGGACCTCAGTTTGGCCCCAAAGACTCACCAAAATGTTCTAGGACATATCGACGCGTGACACACAAATGCACAAAAGCGCCCTTTGACAACAGCTTAAACCATTGCAATCAGGCGGTTGCGTCCACCAATGTGCAGAGTGTGCTCTTGCAAGCTCCCAACCAGCCATGGTCATATCCCACTCAGCTGATCCCGTATTCACTAATCCGAGCCGGCGAATTTACACCGGTCGTTGACTGTTGCCACTTACGACTAGCCTCAATTGTTCCCCATCACTTTGTGTGGACATAATTTGCGGAATCTCCACCGGACTAAATAGCTTTTATTTAAACAAACAATTCGATTCACATTTATACAATGCTGTCTTCCTCCAATTTCGGTCGAACGTAAATCTATTGATTTTCTACTCATTTTCGAATCTCCCGTTCTTCTCCAACAGGTAACGCTGGTTTGCCCGGTCATTTGAAGTAGAACGGCCACCACTGTGGTTTGCACAACCGATTTCACCTACGAAATTTTAACCACTTCCTTCTCACAAGTGACATGGGTCGATTTCCTTCCCAGTGATTATTTCGGATTGACATTTCGATTCTAGAGCAGACCTTTATTTTTTGTACCTGTGCTTCACAATCATGGCTTACAATTTGGTACTCATGGATTTCGTAAAAATCCTTTTTCCTCTAATACTTACAACTATCTTTACGCTGACATTCATTAAATTATCATCAAGATTACTGAATTGACGCATTCAAATTCAATGTTTGCCATCTCTAAACATTCCATTGTCATTTTGGCTGGCAATACAGTGGTGCAGAGATATGGCCCCCCACCACCACCTATGTGGGATGGATTCATCAACATTGTCACCAAGACACTAAGGTTAACAGCCATGAGAAATTAAAGCAGCCCATAAATCAATCTAAGATGCAATCTGTGGATAGCACGACACATTTTCGGTGTTCTTACACGCTTGATCTGCTGAAGCATCCCCTGGTAAATAAACCATCAATGCTGGCTAGAACTGATAAAAGACCGTACTTACACTTTGGAGATGCAAGACAAAAACACACATCAGCAGTACGCTGGCACGTGTTACATATATTTAGTTGCCACACGGCCACCGACAGTCACATGCGTGTGTCAGGGGTGCTGCGAGATCGCCCAGATCTACGCAGCCTTGAATCGACGATTTATGAACAATGAGTGTATACGGGTTAAGAAGCATTGCTTTACAAGTCCCGTTGGATAGTTGGTGGGGATATCAACATAACAATAATGATAATAATGAGAGTAAAACAGTTAGTACTTTAAATATGAAAATAAGGACTTATCGTTTGCTCCGCCGTAGTCCTGCAATCCGTTTAGATTCACAGCACCCGCAGTTAACATCAAATAATTCCATGGTAAACTCCAGGTGTAGGAGGGAAACGTAGTGCTAAGTGACAAAGTGCAAGTGGATGAGTGCATCGTCCAACTGTCTTTTAAATACTGTTAGTGTCAGTGCGGTGACGTCCGATTGTGGGAGAGCATTCAACGATTGACAGACTCGAATGGAAAAGAAACTTCTGCGGCATTCCAGTCGTCGCAACTTCTCGTATGAAAGACTGTGCATTCCAATTACGTTCTTAGATGCCCGGCGTTGTGGCTGCTCCAGTCCATTAAGTTCTTGTTTCAGCCATTGATACCAGGCTTGAATTGCGTATTCGACATGGGGGGCGAACATACGCACGGAGTATTTGTCGAAATATGGAGCTATTTATTTGTCCAAACACCCGTCGCAGCAGCCCGACGTGTTGGTTCCCAGTCTTCAAAGCCTTTTCGGATTGGCTGGAGCAACCCAAGTCATCTTGAACCAGGACACCCAAGTCACGTTCGAAAGTTGATCGTTGTAGTATATTCGTTCCGAGCCGGTATAAGTAGCTGCTCTGATGTCGGATGGAAAGCACTTTGCATTTACTGACGTTGAAATGCAGTAAGTTTTGGGTTGACCATTGATACACCGTATCTAGATCACTCTGAAGCACATGTTACTCGGCGTTCGCCTGGATATCATTGGCAAACACCAGATGTACTGGGCAAAAAAGGATTTCTTTTGGTCGGAACAAATAATGAGGCATGCATTGCCCCCAGACTATTCAGTAGTGTCCAAATATTGGGATGGGGCCTGGTCCATTGGAGACTACATCCGTTGTGCACATTCAGTTTATAAGACCGACTCCTGGTGACACAGTGCTCCTTCCGAACACACGATGTTAGGGGTAAACTGCGGCCCTGGTGGGTCCCATCACCCTGAGCACCTCAGTGGGGTTTCCCGTCATCGAGAACGATGATATCACAAAGCGACCAATTTGTTTAAAGTTATCAACGTTTGGCAATCCTTCTTGAGTGGATTCGCCACTTCCGACCTCAATCATCGATATTCGCTGCAGTGAACGGTGTGAGTAACCCTGCATCGCAGTTGTTATGGCGACCTGCCGTCGTCACTATTGTCTCAGAAGTTTAATTTGTTACTGGATCCCGTTGGAGCCAGTGCTTCCTTGTGGGATGAATCGGCACTCAGCACTTTCGGCGTTTCTGTTAGCTGCGACTAGCCTCTACAAAAGTTAATGAGCGCTATTTCTTGGGTAAATAATTTCCCCTCTTCACTAGACACTCATCAGTATCTTCACCCATGCCTAAGTGATACTTAGTTTTACATTGCATTCAATAGTACGCCTGTGCCAAACAAACTACTCAATGAAATGAACTACTGAAATATGATTGGTATGGGAGAAAGTATGACCTCATCAATATCAGCTAATTGAAACATAGTGATTTAACATGCCTGCAGGTGGTCGATTCATATCGAGGCTACACCAATACTCATTGTATGCGGTAGCTCTCCGGGACATTTCATTCACTGATGCCAGAAGAGGCATGCATCCGTGTTCTACTAGCTTATACCCCACTGGTCTTCACGTTACGTGCCCTCTTTTTCGGAATTCCCGGATGCATCGTAGCTGGAGTTGCCTCACAACAGTCATGCGCTGTCGTGCTCCCAGAGAGCTTACTTGATCGAGTGGAATTTCAGGTCGCCCTTGCCTTGTGTTGGCTGTTTGTGACACTGTTCTTTGCACCGCATCTGGCTATGGGTCTTGTTTGAATCGTTAAAACACCATCGGACATGCCTCGGTGGATGATAACACAGGACAAGGAACGGTATTCACTCTCATGCGATGCGACCAGCTTGGCATGTATTCTAACTCTGTGGAGACGATCAGGCTAACTGGGATGCTTAAGGAGATCCGATGAGTGTTGTTCACACAGCGCAACTTCGCCGCGTCTCCCTTATTCGGAAATGTTGCTGGCAGCGTGGTTTAGATGTTGTTCGAATCGAATTATTACTGAACTTATCCCGCATTCACTTTGAGGCTAGAAGTTTGATAGTGTAGTCCAGTTCATGCCCCACTACTTTCGGCAGAGTCGTATCAATCTGCCACATTTCGAGACAAACGAACAAAGGTCTCGTCCTGCGCCGATACTTCGTACTATTGCATTAGTGCTATGAAACTGCAGGTGGCAGGCAGGCAGGCTGCGATACTCACAGTGCACAATAATCCATGGCAGTGGCCTTGTGAGCCCAAACTTGGAACCACCACACCGCCACCCGTACATCACGTGTAGCGGTTTCCGTACGGACTGAACCAAAGATAAATTCAATTCTGGAATAATCGGCGAGAACTTAGCACAGATAGGATAGTGGCACCTCGTCTATCATTCATTTCTATCAACGAGGGTAGAGACCGCAACACGGGTTGCGAGACTTGACCCCGTGCTTGTGTTGTCCCCGTTCGTTGTAAATGTTGAGACGACTATCCGGGAAGTCGGTAAGCCACAGGAGCCGAAGAGGATCATCTTTCTCGTAGACCATGCAGAAATAATACGGTTTTAATATTTGTAATCAGCATTAACACTTCATGTAGGACAACGTTAACGATTTCTTGCATCTGAAAGTTGACAAAATTTTGTTGCTTTGTGTTACTTTTCTTGGAAGCCACAATCCATCACCACAGGAGATAGACTCAATCGTAACCAATAGTGGTAAGAATAGAAAAATAATGAAATAGAATGAAAACTACATTGGGTAAATGTTAGATGCTTCTCTAGAATAAGATGTGGTCAGGCTGTTGGCTGTTGACGTTTGTATAAGCAATCGAAGAGGACAAGTAAATAAATAAAAAGGTTTATTCTCGGCAGTGCGTTCGAAGTAGTTATAAACAGTGCAGCTCCTGAAATATTTTCATGTGGTTCCCTCAGATGAAGCCTATCGAAAAGAATTAAAATTGAGATCGCAATGGATTTCGCATACGGAAAAATGCAGAAAAGAATAGACACTAATTAGTAGTGTAAAACCAATGCAGAAACAAAATGGAAAAAGTGAGACCAATTTTCGTCTTGGTAAGCGGAAAATGTTCGTTAGTAGTCAGAGTAACTAAATACGTCTGCTAACCGTGGCGGAATCAATTGACTTGGGCAAAAAAGAAGAAACCTGGCATTTCCACCTCGCCCAAATTTCATGAGGACATTCATTTGTCATATTTAGTCTCCGCATAGCAATAGCTCTTTCAACCTTGAGAAATGAATGTAAAGCCTCCCGAAGTCTTATCCATGATTGAATTTCATATAACTCATTTGTAAGCCTGTTCCAAAATACGGAGTGTCGGTTATGCAAGAAGTTGTCCGACTGCCTATTCCTTGATCTTTTCACGAATGATTCGTTGTTAATTTTTCTGGCGCGATGCATTGCTGGTCCTTTTAGTTGCAGTACTGGATTTGGAGAATACATTTTTAGTAAGGGTATAAAATAGGACGATAAGGTCAAGCATCATTCGGCGAATCTATGATGAACCAACTTGTAAAGTAATACGTCGGTCAGTATATGATAATGTACGGGAATAGCTCAAGAAACATTCAGTGAGTGACCATTGCACTCGTTCTAATGCTATACGACCACTCACTTTGGAATTACCTTCGATAATGAAGCCATACTCTACTAATAGACGTGTTTGTACTTTGTACGTGGTGTTAGTTGATTCTTTTCTAGTGAATGTTTTGTACAGAGTCCCGATGCTTCGACAAGCTTGAGCTACAGTACGTCCTTCGTGCTCAACGAATTTAAGGATGTTCAAGTCGTGTATCTTTAGGTCACGGATGGTGTGGCAGCAAGACAATGGTTTACCAACAATAGTAGGAGAACCCGATGTGATTTCACATCGGTAGGATACCACGTGGTGTTTGTCAACGGAGTATGGCATCTTCCACTTTGAATACCATGAATCAAGCTTATGTATGTCGCGTTGGATTGCGCCAAGAATACTACCGACACCTGTGGAATTAAAAGTTTAAATAATCTTTATATCTTCGGCAAGTAGAATAGGTTTATCAAAGATCAGGACAACAACAATATCATTCACATATAATAGGAATAGTAATGGGCCCGGGACACTGCCTTGTATCACTCCACTGATGACTAGCTTAGCCGGCTTGTTACCTTTGGAACCTGGGCAACTTGGGTTCTATTCGTGAGGTACGAATCGAATTACAATAACAGAGGCTTGCATATACCGTGGTGGACGATTATAACAGATGAAGTGCGGTCAAGTAAACTAATCAGAAGATTGAAAGTCGGCCTGACATGTTATGCAGGATCGTGAGCTTAAGAAACCGTGTCACGAGGTGTCGATGCGATTTCACGTCGTCAACACTCAATAGTTTTGAACTTTGTTTGAGGTTCCATCATCTTAGAGATGATGGACAGCATTTTCTCGTTTCGTGCACGGAGCTTC